ACACACACACACACAGTGCCCTGCCTACAGCCTATTGGTGTGTGTCTACAGGTGCCTCCTCCTGACAAAACCCACAGAGACTGACGGGGGTGGGGGTGGGGTGAAGGAGGTGAGTGTGTGTGGTGGGAGGCAGGTGAGGGAGGTTTCTGGGGATGACCTCACCTCGAGGCCCGGTAATGACGGGCCGGTGATGGTGTGTGAAAGCCGTTCGGGGGGAAGAGGAGGAAGAAGAAGAGGAGGAGGTGGAGGAAGCGCCGCTCGGTGAAGGCGCAGTGCCGCAGAAACCGGACTTCTCTGACCTCTTTAGAGCGCTGGCGGGTGACGGCATCCCTGCCAAGAACCATGATGATCATGATGAGGAGGAGCGGGTCATGGCAGATTTGATTCTTTAAACACTTTTTATGCACCTCCAATGTGGGGAGGAGTTGGGAGGAGGGAGGTGGTGGTTTGGAGTGGGGCTTAGAGATCAGGGGCGGGGCTTGGAGATTGAATCACAGGCTGCAGGTGTCAGAGAGTTTAGTGTGTCTGAGCCTTTTTAAGTTTTTAGATACCAGCAAAAAAGGACAACATGAGTAAAAATGATGACAAATAAAATGAAACACTAAAATATAAAAAAGAACAAAAGCCTGAAATTTTATAAAAATAATAATATCGACATGAAAAGTGTGCAACAAAATATATAAATAAAAACACACAAAACCAAATAAAAATGTGAATGTGAGTGATGATCTAAAGCCCATCATTTATTTTTATTTCTTTGTGTGTCAGATGGGCCAGCCGGCAGCATTTTTATTCAAACATAAAAAGTCAGTTTTCTGAGAGACGTGAAACTCAGACATGCTGTTTCTCTTTCCTGTCAGCTCAGCAGTGTGAAACGCTATCAGCTGGGATAAAAACAAACATAACCTGGCTGCCGTTAATATCGAGACACACTTACATGTGATGATTTTTATTTGAAATATTTAATAAGCTTCAGCAGACGGGAACATCTTGACTGCTCACATTTTAATTTTTACCATAGCTACCAGATAGATGCAGTTCAGGCTGAATTAGTTCATCACAGGAACAACAGTGATCATCTTCAACACAGCTTTTTAAAATATTTTATTTTTGGCCTTTATTACACAGTGGAGTGAAGAGTGACACGAGGGGCGGGAGACATGTGGCAAAGGGCCGCATGTCAGATTTGAACCCGGGCTGGCTGCTTTCTACATGCAATACTTTTATTGTAATGGAGTACTTTTACTCTGAAGTACTTTTACTGCAAATAAGGCTCTGCATGGCTGATTATCAGCACAAACACACGATTGTTCCACAGCTCGGAGACGAGCTGTGAACAGAGGGAACAACACAGATTGTGGTCTACCTGGAAGGGGTGGGGCTTGTAGTGACGGGCAGAGGTGCAGTAGGAGGAGGAAGAGGCAGAGGGGGTTGTTTGTTTGTGAGTGTGATGAAGGACCGAAGAGGTTTTGTCAGGTGGAACTGAGGCTGTTCAATATCTTCTTCCTCATCCTGTTTCCACATCCATCCATCCATTCATCCAATCTATCAGTCATCCATGATTGATCCATCCATCGTCCATCCCTCCATCATTCATTATCCATCCACCCATCAATCATTCATCATCATCCATCCATGATGCATCCACCATTATTAATCATCCATCATTCATTCAAGATCCATCCATCCATCCATCCATCCGTGATCCATTATTCATCCATCCATCCATCATCAGCCCATCCATCATTCGTCATCCATCCATGATTTATCCATCTATGATGCATCCATCATTCATCCATCCATCATCCATCCTTCATCATCCATCCATCCATCCTCCATCCATCTATCCTTCATCATCCATCCATCCATGATCCATCAATCCATCACTGATTATGATTCATTCATTCATCATCCATTTAGCCATTATTGAATGTGTCCCAGTTAATAATTTAACCAAACATGTTATTTCAAATAAAAATCTGTAAAACATTACAAAATGAAAATGGAACAACACAATAAAATAAACATAAAAACCCACAACCATTTAATTAAATGTGGAGACCTTTAACGGGTCTCCACAGCAGATCGTCTGCCTCCATCATTCCCAGCATCCTCCTCTCTCACACCAATATGTCCTCCATCACTACATCCATGAACATCCTCTGAGGTCTTCCTCTTCTCTTTCTGCTTGGCAACTCCATCTTCATCCACCTTTGTCCAATACAACACAATCCAGAAACTGTTTGGTCTCTAGATAATATTGCCCTTCATAATAATTAGGGGTGTGGCCTCTTTGATTGACAGGTGGATTGTGACACAGGTGGCTGTAGCCGCTAGCTGTCTGCTCGGCTTCACCCGAACTCGACCTCTGGACTGTCATAATGACGTCAACTGACCAATAACTTGGCTGCTGTGAGGTTCCTGTACTAGCAGAGCATCCAAAAAGGCGGAGCTCCAGGACTGCTGAGTGAAATTCAAGGGTTTTGATGTTACTGATTAGCAGTAAGTTAGAGCTCCACCCTCTCATCCAGCAGCCATTAGGCTGCCTCACACTTCAAACCAGTTTGGGTTACCTTCCATCTTTAATATACAATCTGTGGTTAGTTTTGGTCATTTATCAGATTCAAACGTCTCCTGATACACAAACTAACAACACCTTTACTCGTTACCATGTCACATATTCACATTCAACACACACACACACACACACTTGCACACAGACACAAACTGTCCTGCTGTCCATCCAGCTGGTTTTCTCGTCCACAAACTAAACAAAATCGACGTGCCACAGTGACATCATCAGCATGCTGCCAGGTGAGTGGAGTTAGGGTTGGGTGGAGTGCGGTGGGGAGGTGAAGGAGGTTGAGGGGGGCACGAGACGGAAACTCAGACAAAAAGGAGGAGAAGGAGGAGGAGGCGGTTTCACAGACATGTAGACAGGAAGTGAGGAGGCGTGTTGACGTCTTTACCTTGTCGGGAGATGAAAGAGCTAGCTAGAGAGCCACGCAGCTTATATCCAGCTTTCCAACGCAAGACGGAGGAAAGGAAGAAAAGAAACGGAAAGGAAAAGTAGCATGAATACACCGGCCGAGAGAGGAAGAGGAGACAGGAAGAGGAAGGAACTCATAAATATAATCAGTGTATGCGTGTGTGTTTAAGAACATGGTTACCAAAATAAAACTACAAAATCTCTGAGTCTGCAAAAATGAAAGTAAAAAATAAAATAAACCAAAAATGCACTGGAACAATGTGAATGCAATGAACTGAATATAATAAATAATAACTGAGAATTAAAGCAATTTTCTATTTTTTCTAACGCAAATAAAAATAAAATATTTTTAGTTTCCTTTGAGACAGCTAACCTGTGATTTATAATTCAGTATGAACCAGAGTGGACGTGCTTCTGTTGCAGCTGTAAACCTGCTTTAAAAATAGATTTGATTGTACTGAAATCATAGAAATACTCAACAGAAACCTAAACATCTCTGTAAAATGAATTTATATTAGGAAAGCAGTTTATTCTGCACATATCTTCCTGGACATTTTTGTTCCTTCAAAAGACTGAGAGCAGAGAGAGCGACAGGAAACAGCACAGAGAGAAGAACGACATGCAGCAGATGGTCGCTCGGCTGGGAATCGAACCGGGTACTCGCGGGGGTCTGCTCGAATTTCCAAAATATTATTAAAAAATGTTTTTTAAAGAAATAAAAAAAAAGAAACATAGAGAACAGAAAGAAAATTAAAATACCTTCATAATAGCAATTATAAAAATATAATATTCTTATTCTAATATTATTAATAAACATTATATTTGATTGATATTCACATCTTTTAAATGCAAGAATAAAATTTCTATCTAAATATTTTAATAAGTTCAATAACAATTACAGTATAGTTTTAACGAACATTAAAAATAAATAAATGATCATGTAAAATTGAATTAAGAATAAAAACTAAAACATGTAACTGAATAAATTTCCAACCCATTTAACAAAATGGCAAACAAACACCTGGCAAACAAAATATAAAATCATTCTAACCCATAAAAGCCACGCAAAGAATATCTATAAATATATTTGAGAAACGCAACATTCACTGAAATAAAATATCATAAAAATACTGAATAAAAATGTCAAAATGAACGTAAAGACTTTTTGTATCAAAATATATTTTATTTGACTGATATTTGTATATTTGTCAAATGCCAGATTATTATTTATATTATATCAAAACATTTGAAATTTAAATGTATAATTTGACTTCTCTATCTAGAAAAACCCACCAAAGAAATATTTAAAAATATGACGTAAAAATACAAAAATTAAAGGTAACTAAGGGTAACTAAACAAACTGCCTGACTGTTGAAAAAGTAATTAAAAGCGAAGAATGAATCAACTAATTTATAATAATTATAAGACAAATTAAAAAACATGGATTTCTTCTGAGCTGACAGTTTAATGACATATTAATGCGAATTAAATTTCTCCCCCTTTCTCGGCTTCGTGAGGCTCACTGAACAGATTTGTGTCTCTGAACTGTTCAGATTCACACTGAGCTACACGGAGGCATGCTGGAGGTTGCTTCCTGTTTATGTGACTGTTTTGGATCTGATTCTGCAAGTGTGCAGGATCAAACCTG